CGAAGAGCAACAGCTCCTGGACCCTTCACGCGCCAACTCCACTATGCGAACGCGACCTACCCTCACGCGAACGTGAAGCACCAGCCTCCCACCTTCCGCGAACGCGAGGCCTCAAACGCGAACGTGAAGGCCAAACACAGACCACCCCAAAATCCTTCTACGCGATCGCGACTCGCCCCACGCGATTGCGAAGGCCAATTTCGTCTGCAACAACTGAACAGTTTCTGCAATTATCCAATACCAAAACTAGCCCGATTGGCCACCCAACACTCACCCGAGGCCCCCCGGGACCTCAACTAAAGCCACCAACACATCCTAAAACCTCATTCAAACTTGTTCCAATCATCAAAACACCTCAAACAACACCAAATCCACCAATTCACATTGAATTCAAGCCTAAGTTTTCTAAAACTTCCGAAATACGCTTTCGATCAAAAACCTAACCAAACCACCTCTGAATGACCTAAAACTTTGCACACACATCCCAAATGACATAATGAAGCTACGACAACTCTCGGAATTCCATTCCGACCCCTGAATCGAAATCTCACCTACCAACCGGAAATTGCCAAAATCTCCACTTCGCCGATTCAAGCCTAATTCTACTCCGGACCTCCAAAACCACTTCCGATCGTGCTCGTAAGTCACAAATCACCCAACGGAGCTAACCAAATCATAAAAATTCCGATCCGAGCTCATATACAAATAAGTCAAATCTTGGTCAAACCTTTCCAATTTCAAGCTACAACTGAGAACTGTTCTTTCAAACTTATTCCGATTTCCGTAAAAACCAAAACCAATGATTTACATCAGTCATAATACATCACACGAGGCAAGTCATGCCCGCGAACTGGCGAGCGAAGTGCAAAAGCTCAAAACCACCGGTCGGGTCGTTACACTTAATTACCAATTATAGACCATAAGGTTTTTTAACTGTACATTAATTGTACCTTATATCACTCTTACATTTATGGTACTGTATATTCCTCCAAATCCNTATTGAAGTCAAATCTTCAAAGTTTCATACACATCAATAACTTTTGATGGTTATGATTTTGGGTTCCTTCAGTAACATAGGAGAAAAGAAAAAGAGAGCAGCAATTCCACCATTGACAACCATTAAAAAGCTTTGAAGCTTTGAATTCAAATTTGGGTTTTCAAAAATCATTATTTGTTTGGATTGGGTATTGTTGTAAATAATTGGGAATATGGTTTGGAGTTTATATCTCAATTTTGAGGGGTTTTGATGAAGATTAGACTTGGTTTTGGCTGAATTTCAGATTGAAATTCGAAGAAGAAGAAGAAGAAGAAGAAGAAGAAGAAGAAGAAGAAGACGTATATTGCAGAAATTGTAGAATGTTGTTTATTTATTTTTCTTGAAGAAAAATTGCAGAAATATTTTTTTGGATTCCATATTTAGCATAGCAGTTTCGTAAGGAGTAACAAGAGCATATAGGAGGATCACAGAATTGTAGCATAATCGGAATTTTCGACATAATTGCTTTTTTTGCAGAAGATTTGTAGAAGTTTTAGTCGTTTTTTATTTATGAAAACAGAAAACAAAGCATCTACAATAAGAATACAAATAATCTACAATTTATCGATAAAATATCTACAAACTGGGTACATTGAATTTTAATATCCCAATTCTCATTCAATTGTAGCATAATTGGGATTTTCGACATAATTGCATTTTTTGCAGAAGATTTGTAGAAGTTTTAATTGTTTTTGATTGTGAAACAGAAAACATAACATCTACAATCAAGATACAAATAATCTACAATTTATCTACAAAATATCTACAAACTGGGTACATTAAATTTTAATATCCCAATTCTCATTCAATTGTAGTATAATTGGGATTTTTGACATAATTGCGTTTTTTTCAGAAGATTTGTAGAAGTTTTAGTCATTTTTTTATTTGTGAAAACAGAAAATAAAGTATCTACAATCAGAATACAAATAATCTATAATTTATCTACAAAATATCTATAAACTAGGTACATATTTGGACTCGAAATGCTTCCCTTGAAATGTGTGTTTCATATTTTTGATATATATTTTTGTACAAAACAGTATTAAATCATCCACTTAAATATAATTTTTATACAATGTTGTTCAACTTTCATACAATAGGTAAATGAATAAAAGAAAAATAAATAAACAACTGTATACAATGTTTCTACAATTTATCTATAATTTCTGCAATATACGTCTTCTTCTTCTTCGAATTTCAATCTGAAATTCAATCAAAATCAAGTCTAATCTTCACCAAAACCCCTATTGAGATATAAACTCCAAACCATATTCTCAATTATTTTCAACAACACTCAATCCAAACAAATAATGATTTTTGAAAACTCAAATTTGAATCCAAAACTTCAAAGCTTTTTAGTGGTTGTCAATGGTGGAATTGTTGCTCTCTTTTCCTTTGCTTTGTATTTTCGCCATAATTGCTTTTGTTGCAGAAGAATTATAGAAGATTTTGTCGATTTTGATTTGTGAAATCAGAGAAAATGTTGAAATAGAGTTTAGCGCAAAAAACAGCGTACGGAAATTTTGTAAAGAAGTCGACGATGGTGATTACTGTGCGTGATCTGCGTTGGAAGATCTGGAAAATATGTAATTCTCCTTTTTTAGGGCGCTTAAATAAGGAATCATACAACTATAATGATTCCTTATTTAATGCATTGTGTATATTATGTAGAAATACTATTAGCATGAATGGTAATATGTAAACTATGAACATATTTAGTAATATAGTTTCTTATATGGTATAGGATGAAAATTTCTCATATGCTAATGACGAAGAATGTTCCCTTTTTTATTATTATATTAAACCAAACTCTGAATAAATTAATCAAACAAAAGCATTCAAAATTTGCAATCGTAAAATCATATGCTCATTAAAACTAACAAAGGATGACAAGTAAACAAAGATTTCATCATGCAATGGATAACAAAACGAAATAGACCAAGCTAAGACATCAAAAAAATAAAAAATATTACATTGTCAAAAAAAAAAATCAAGAACAGCGTGAATCTAAAAATTCCATTTTCAAATTTCACCTAATGCTTCAAGCACATTTATTTATGTAAAAGAGCAGTGAAAAGTTTGGACCTTTTAGAATGCATTTTTTTAAAATTAAGTCGCCTGATCTATACTTAACAACCTAATAATAAAAACTAAGAATGATAGTAACCTTGAACCAAGTTCACAACATTAACTAGTGTAATAATTAGGTTCATCAGAAGTAATCCTCTGATAGCCGACAAATTTTTAGTCCAAATTTAAGCGAATGTAAAATAAACTAGTCTACTTCTTATAATAATTTCGGCACTCATGCATTCTTTTAACGAGCAGGAAGTAGAATAAGAACCAAAGAAACTGAAAGGAACTCGGATATGCGACTCTTCTTCACTTTCAATCGAATAGAACAAAATTACAAGGTTGAAAGTTACCTAGATTGCAGAATTTTAAACGCAGCAACAAGGTAGAGAAAAACGGCAACTAAACCCAGCCAAAACCAACAAGAACTAGCAGCAAAAGACACCCGAAATAAACCAAAAAATCAAACCCACAAACTTCAGGCACTTTCAAAGAAACTAAAGCCTAGAAACTAAATTTACTGCTTTTATTTTTGGAAGATTTTTTCTTGGTTTCAGCTTACTTTACTATAATGTATTCAACTGCTCCTCGGGGACCCCTCTCTTTATAGTAGTAGAAGGTCCTTGAGGTTAGGTTTTGCCTTAACCAAAAATATGCCCAAAAAATGAGAAAAGGACTGTCCTTTTTCACTAATTTCAGACACAAACAAAAGTAGATGTACTCCCAACAACTCCAAAACAGTAAAAGAAACCAAACATGTACACTACTTCATCATTTATCTTTTACCCTTCACAAATTAATATCAAACTAACTAACCAATTAAAACCAATGTAAAAGCAAAAAATTCAGCATTCAACTTAGCCAATTAAACTAATGTTTATATGATCAATCCAAGGGGAAAAAAATAAAAATCTATGATTAGGCAAGACACGTATTATAGTGAAGTAACTAACTAATAAAACTATATAGTTTAATCATGAAACTACGCCGTTTGGACCAGGTCTTGACAGGCCATTTATTGGACCAGGTATGACCGAACTGGGCTCAAACTTTGGGCCAATTTTGGTTCAATATTAATTAAAATACACTAACCCAATCCTTTTTCACTCTAATGAAATTATAGTCTTATTTAGTTCTAAAGAAAATATGCAAGTAGAAAGAAATTTTTTTTGGTATATATAAATTAAGGATGCAAATTAAAATATAAAAAAAAAATTAATACTTTTTAATTAAGGAATTCACATATAAATATACAAATAAATTCAAAGAAAATTAACTAAAATAGCTAAAACCATCCAAAAGTTAGTTTTTTTGTAGGAATTAAAAAGCATACAAAAATTAGGTATTCATAACATGCATAAGATCCAAAGGGAAAATAACTTTGCTCGCCACTATATTGAAGGAAATGATTGATACCGTAAGAAAAATGAGTAGATAATATTGACCAAGAACAAGAAGGAAACAAGAATAACTTATCAAAAAATACTATGACGTGGCAAGCCAATCTTGAAAGCGATTTCGGCCCGACTGCTGTTACAGAATTCAATGGTGTGTGTGGGAGGGGGGGGGGGGGGGGGGGGGGAAATCAACCCGTTTTGCATTTAGGACCAATTTCTCATGTGTGCGAGACCACTCTATTTTTCTAGCTCTTTACAAGTGCAACAAAGAGTAATTCAATTTAAAAAGAGGAAGAAACTTTCCACAATAGACGAGGGACACTTTGTTTTTCACAAAAGACAAAGTAGTAAAGAAGGAAAAAAAGAACTACAGAAAACTCTTTGACTTTGCATTACCAAATATAAATAATACCACCAAATGCAACTTCAAGCAGGAGTATAATTTAATCTAATATATATATATATATATATTAGTCTATCTCCACACAAAACAATCCATCAGTTGTGACAAAAAAAATACACAAGTGATTTTTGTTCATTGTCACATTGAAAATGAGGTAGCACTCTATACGACCAAAAAAAGGCCTATCAAGAAAATAAAAGAATTACATGACATTGCATTTGCTTTTGATTTAATTTTAATAGAAACTAACTCCTACAAAATCTTCCTTCTGAAAATAATGTTAGGAAAATTGTGCCTTCTTTAGGCACGAGTGACCATACGTAAAATTAAACCGTTGTGAAGTGAGAGATTATATGTACAAAAATACATATATCAACCGAACATCATGACCTTAGGAGCAAACTTCAAAAGCCTATCCAATGAGCTAGGCAAAAACTTTCTTGCAAAAAGATAACACATACTTGTAGGCTCTCCATTATATTCACACTGAATTCCACTTCTCATTTGGTTTAACAACTCCTTTGTTACCTCTGTCCTAGCAAACTTCGTTGGATGGGGCCCACCTTTTGTCCAGTCAACCCAAGTCAACGTTCTGTTGCCATTTTTCCACCAATATCTCATAGTTACAAAAGTTGGCAAGTAATGTTCATCGGAGTAACATGCTGGCCTACAAAATTCTTTGAATAAATTGAAATACTTTGGCTCGGTGATCACGTCGACGGCGATCTCCCGGTCGAGTTCGAACCATTGGGACCCTTTTCGCCATTGTTCGATGGTCACCCATGGTGTCATCTGGCTATTGTAACGGCCCCGTCCAACGGGGCCCCATTCATCATAGGACTCCACGAAAGTTCTCGTGGAGTTCATGATATAGGTGTAGATGGCAGTGAAGTTGTACAAGGGGATGCAAGCCTCTGAAAGCAGCACAAAACGCTCATTTGACATGTCAAGTAAGGCATTGGCTAGTAACCTTCGTTCTGCTTCGACCATGCTGAATTCTCCCCAGTCCACTCTCTACACATTTTGCCAACAATGAGGATATTATCAAATTAAATAGAGTTATAAAATAACAATCGTACAACAAAAAAGGTCAAAGAAGCTTCTTTATGTAAATTGAAATAACACATATACACAAGCTATGTGATAACTAGGACAGTTTTTCATATGCATTGAAATTAGCATTCTGCATATAACTAAATTAATATTATATTATGAACTTCCCACTAAACAGTGCGGGAAGTACAAATGTAGTCACCTAATGAAAAGGAAATCCAACAAGAAGTATAAACCCAAATAGCAGCTCACCTAATCTGTTAAATTATAAATTGCCGAAGGATATAAAATATATTTACAATTCACATATAATATATGTATAATTGTATATAATCAATACATAATCTATATAAACCGATTAGAAAAAATAAACATTGAATGTTACCGGCTATTTGTATAACAATCTTAAACTGGCCGAACCCAAAATTGAAAATGGTCAAGTCAAGCCCAAAGACAAGATGTATTGGTCCACTAGATTTTTTAAGTGGAAATGACACTAGGTACTCACTTTTAAGCATGCTGTTTAAAATATATCTATATTATAATGTATTTAAAGATTACCTAGTTCGCTCAAATTTCAGGACACGTCATCCTAAATTTTAAACCTCGAGGTTCAAAATTCAGGACATCGTGTCCTAAAGTGTGAAAATTGTGTCTAAAAATTCGATCTTATGTCCTAAATTTCAGGATATAGAAATTCAGGACACTTAGTTCTAGGGTGAATTGGCTAATTTAGATACATTGTAAATTATGGATATATTTTAAAAAGCAGAGTTAAAAGTAGAACTTGGTGCAATTCGCCCATTCTTTAAGAAGTCTACTATAAAAATTCTCTACACAATCCGCTCACATACATAACTTAAATACTACTACAGTCAAATTAATTTCTATATAACAGCGTTTTGTTCCAAATTTTTTTCATAGTTATAACAAAGTATTGTTATAGAAACCATATATTATAGCATAAAAATTGGTTCCAAAAAATTGACTTTTATTGTGCATGATTGTTATATAGCGATGATGTTATAGAGAGGTGTGAGTGTACTAAGCAATAAGATAAATGAATGAAGCATTTAGAAAAACTATATAATTGCAATTGGCGTTTATACTTAACATACCTTGCTTGGTACTCTTCTGCCATGAAAAATAGGTCCTTCTTCAGGTGCAATTCCGTTGAAAGATGGTTGTGAATGAATATAAATGGAGTAACGCCCTTCATTTCCTTTGAAAAATCTTTCCCAAAGAGGAGCCAATGGCAAACTTCCTCTTGCTAAAAACATAAATGCAATTTTTGGGGTACGTTTAAATGGAAAATTCCTAACCTTAGGAACCATTGAAGCTCTCCATATTAACTCTTCGTCGTTCATATCGTGCATGGCTTCTGGAGGCTTAATATAATCTGTTAACCCTATTCTACCAACCCTTTTCGTCTTAATATTATTTTCGACGCGACGATCATTATTTAATTGTACGCGTTGTTGTGGCTGTTGATTCGAAGGTAAATTCAATGGCTGAGATGGTGGAGGATTCAGTTTTGGTGTTACTATAAGTGGAGAAGGTTGGAAAGAAAATAATTTTTTCTTTAACGTAATTGGAACATCTTTGAGATAAAAGCTTACTGAAATTCCTATAACCAAACCAGACCCAAAGAAAAGGAAATAAACAATAAGGCTATGAATGTACCTTTGTGAATTAAATAATTTTGCTGAGGTAAACTGATTTTGATGTGTTTCATGCTTCATTTTCTGATCTAACAACTATGATTCTAAGGAGTATAAGAGAATAATATAATCATATATTTTTGAAAAAAAAATGGAATATAATTGTGTGTACCTAGATGTGATTCCTATGTTAAGTTACCTCTTCTAATATCGTACATAAAACTAGATCTAATTATATAAGATCAAGATAGAATGCAATATCACCTAATCTTTACCAGTGGGACTGGGATTATTACATGAACAATGTACGAGTAAATAATGGAGGAAACTTGATATTCTAATCATTGTCGGAAAATGTAAAAGTAGTAAAGGTAATCAAAGGTAAATTCTGAGGGTTGAATCTTAATATTTTTTTCATCAGATTTAAGCTGTATTGGATTTCCAGGTGATTAAGATATTGAGAACAAAGATGAAGGAAGATGGCACAACAGACATAGGAAGAGAGAGACAAAGAAAAGGGAAAAATTAGTTTGGATTATGCCAAGTGGATTTCAATTTCTCCAACAAAATTATGTCTCATAATCCTTCTTTATAGGAAGGGAGCAAAGCTAATGACCACTTAGACTCTCAATATTCTCATGCTATCTATATGGAAAAGGAAAAAAAAAACTTCAAATACTACCCTGTTGTTAACTATGTAGACAAAAATACGGGGTATTATCACTTTTAGTCCGCGTCATAAATTATTTATGTTGGTAGTCGAAAAAGTATATAAAATTTGTATAAATTTTTTATATAACGTACAGAATGTGTGTATGTATATATATATATACAAAATATATATAAATTTTCAGTTATTATTTTGAGAGCGGCTATATAATGTCATTTACTACAGACATAAATGATGTTAGTCTTTCAATCAATCAATATTGTTTAGAATTAAAACATTTTAATAGATCATACCAACTTGGTAATTTGGTCAAATATGTTCAATTGAATGTATTTATATCAAAGTAAATCACAACATAAAAGATATAATTAAATTTAAACATTTTCTTGCGAAAACATTTGCAAAACAAAAACATGTATTTTAATATTTGTAACTTATTCTTGTCTATAATTTATCAGTGTTCTCAAAATGTTTCTACTTCTTTGAAAAATTCTCTTGTTATAAAAGTTAATCTACAATTGTTTACAATGACAAAATTTCAAATTTCCACAAGCAAACAAAAGTTAAGTCGCAGTATTTTTCTCCATTCTTTGTCCTTTTTAGCTATATATAAAAAACAAAAAAAAAAGAACAAATTGTAAAAGAAAAATATAAGTGATAGCTTGAAGATGTATATTAGTATTAGTACCCGCACGATGTGCGGATCATATTATGATCCTGCTAAATTCTATAAATTAAAAAGAACAAATTATATGAATAACTATTGACATAAACTTAAATATTATAACCTCATATATAACCGGTGATACAAACAAATAAAAAATACAATAAGATTCAAAAATAAATATTCGTTCCCTTTCAATTTACATAAAATATTTTTCTTATTGGTCTGTTCCAAAAGAATGACACATTTATGTATTTGAAAATAATTTAACTTTAAATTTTTTATTTACCCATTTTACATATAATGAGAAGTTCTTACACCAATGCAAATATCATGGCCCCCCAAAACTATTAGGATCATAAGTTTCAAAAGTTTTCATTTTCGTTCTTAAATTTCATGTTAAGTCAAACTATCTCATCTATATTGAAACTGAGTGAAGTCATACTATATAGAGTAGTAACAAATAAAAATATATTTCGTAATATCTTAATTTAAATTATAAAAATATATTATATTATTATCTCAACATAATAAATTCTTACATCAACATCAACTTCTACCAACCTAAAATTACACGGTGACAAATTAATATATACATACATGATAATTTATTAACAACGATATATTCTAACTTTTGGGAGTTACTAACTTATAAAACTGTTGGATCGTAATTTGCTCAATAATTTTTCTAGTTACCTCAATTTTAACCACACAATTAAAGTCACATTGTTTTTAACAAGTTAAATGATACCTTTGGGATATAGTTAAGATTAATATATTATAATTAAATAAATGTTAACCTACTTTAAATATTTTTTTCTACGATGTACATCTACAAAAAGAAGATGAGTTCTTACATGTAATTCTTAATTAAATGAATCTTACCTTATGATTTTACAATCCACTTTATTTTGTGCAAATAGCAATCCCAAATAGTGCAATTATATTCATCTATGTGTTTACCCTATCCAAATCTATTTCATTCTAACTGACACACACACACACACACATAATATATATATATATACTCGACCCCATCGGTTGCTCGATCAATTGGCTTATACATTTTGAGAGAACATAAATATCAACAACGCGCTAAAAAGTCATTGTTCATACATGAGTCATTAGAGAAGGATCTATCCTCCCTTATTGTATATTTTAGCATAGCAACTGCTAGCACTAATAGAAAAATAGATAAAAAAAAAATAAAAAAGATATATGTATTGCTTCCAAACAATTGAGATATAAAATAAATTATAAAATATTAGATAATTAATTTTATCAAAAGGCAACACAATTGACATTTGTTTAGCCAATGTCTGAGTCGATTCATAGTTAAACATTATCCCTAAGGTAGTGACGAAAGTTAAGTTTTGATCCAACAACTCGGTAATTATGATTATGGGTTCGAGCCTAGATTTTTTAGTTTTATTTCTAGTAACAAACATGTTTTTATTTTTTCTGTTATTTTTGTTGTGAACTCAAATTTCAAAAAACTCTTTCTCATTATTTAGAAAAATTCGCCTCACTCGTTGAGCCTCCCGTTTGAATTGGAACATTTATGTGTTGATTAGCTTTCCTAATTAATTAATCAATCAATTCAAATTTAACTTTCTTTCCATTCAGATTCAAAAGAATCTTATTTACTATCTTTCTATTTAAATTTAAATAAATATCCTGTCTTTCAATTAAAATCAAATACTATAACAAATATTGTCATAATTTGCTAAGTGGCTTTATATTAGCTTGTCATTTGGCTTAATCATAATGCACACTTGCTATATAACCATGTGACTTTTAATTAGCTTATCGCGTTACTTAATGTCCTTACTCATTGCTCTACTTTTAGTATAATATAATGAATATAGTTTTGTATTACCCTAAAATTTAATTTAACATTGTTCTTTTGTTCCGTAGCTCCAATTATTTTGTTTAAATTTATCAATAATATTATTTTTCCTATTTAATTATTTTATTAAACAAATATAAAGTGTAGACCCCTTCACATTACTTCTATTCACCTCTATATACATTATTTTCGATCATATAATATTTTAATTATTTTTCACATTTCGTGTTGTATCTATAATATAAACATTATCGTATTATTTTTTTAATTCTTTTGAAAATATGCCAAAGTTTAAACGAAGAAGTTCTTTTATTATTTTTCATAAATCTACACATTTAGTAATTATTATTTAGTATTATGTGCAATAAGCAATTAATTTTTTTCTTTTGTTTTCATATAGAGTTTTGACTTTAATTTTTTTATAACTTAACTACATGACAATTTTAATTACATCTTTATATTGTTAATTTGTTGCTTGGTGTTATTTCATTGTAAATGCTTTAAATTTTAGGTTTATAAATTATGTTTTCAATTGCGTGATATTATCCATATAATATATTTTTCTCGTAATAATTTAAAAAGTTTTCTTATATCAAATTTAAATGTCTAATTCTTCTATATATCTACAATTATATTATTTGTTTACAAAAAAAAATTCTCTATTTTTTGTTCTTTGTTTATTGTTATTGTGTTATCCGTTACTTAATATGGTTACATTATTACTTAACTTTTTATTAGCTTGGCACCTATTTTATATCCCCATCTGCTACTTTTATTATAATATACTATAAAGAATATGGTTTTTCTATCTCTTAAAATAATTTTTTTATTTATTTTTAATCTTTCACTATATAATATTTGAATTTATCAATAATATTTTTGAGTATTAATTATTTATTTGCTTTATTTTATTATTTAAATTAATTCAAAGTATGAAATTCTCTCACACTTATAGGCATATAAATTTTATTTAAATTAAATCCATAAAATAATTTGGACTATATTTTAAATTCAAGATATATTGGTCCAAATAAATATTATGGGCTAATATATAAATGAATTAATTATATAGGTCCAACATTTATGGATTAAATAAATAAGTCTTAATCTATTGGGCTAAAGTGATGAGCCCACTTAATTAAGCCCAAGATGTTATCTTCCTAGAGGCCCAGTTTGGTATCATATGTCAAATGACGTGGCGCGCCAAGTCAAACGAAAGAGCCAATAGGATTGTGCCATGTGTCAAAATGACAAGGCATGCCCAGTCACACTAAAAGTCCAATGAAATCGCGCCACGTATGCAAGTGACATGTTCTAGCCAATCAAATGCGATCATGTCACACTTCAATTTGATTGGTCGAAAAGAGTTTGTTCTTATCACAACTCCTTCTTTCCACAACTATAAATAGGGGTCTTCATAACTCAGAAAAAGAGACCAGAAGTTATAACAAGAAGCAAGAGAGAGCTCGTGGATCAAACGCCGTAAATTTCTCTACAAGTTTCAAGCTTCAAACAATCAAGTTCAAGTTCAAGAAATCAAGTTCAAGCTCAAGAACGAAGAACAATTCAAGTATTCAAGATCAAGAACGAAGTCAAATCAAATACAAGGCGTTCAAGATCAAGGCTACTTGTTTGTGATAAAATTCGTGGCAACAATCAAAGTGTTCGTGACGGATAAATCAAATTACAATTCAAGATCAAGCTCAAAGGTCCTTGAATTTATACTAGAAAAGTAGAATCAGAGGAATCATAGAGATTGTAACACTCAAATATTTGAAATAAAATACTACGATTGTTGCGATATTTTTCGGTCTTGATTTTATTTTCTCGACGCAAATTTATTGTCTACAAATTCTGGCACGCCCAGTGGGACTATCTCTACCTCTCATCTCAACTTTTCACTCACCAAAGTTCAAGAACATTGAAATGGCTTCGAAGAAAATCAAATCCAGATCAACATCCACCAAGACTGCTAACTCTAGGTTCTATGCTCATGTGGAAAGCATCCTCGATGTCACCTTTGGAAGTTTTGGACCAGTTACGAGGAGCAAATCAAGCTCTTTAGGACAACAGGCACCCCAAGTGTCGTCCGCATCAACCCCTATTTTTGGATCTTCATCCTCAAAAGGAGTAAGATCTTCCACAAATGCATCTGAAGAAGGAAGCGGTGTTGCTGAAAAGATCAAGAAAACTCTTGCTCTGCTTGACCTCTCCGGCTCCAAGCACTCTGCTGTGAAGGAAGATGATGATGCTTCAAGCGATGGATCCTCCCCACTTACACCACATAGCGTGAGCTAGTCAAGGATCAATCTGT